CCATGACTGCTATCCTGCCCTACCTATTTTTGTATTGAATACTAAACTCTATCAGATAGTGAGCAAAGGGAAGTTTAGCTCATTGGAAAAGTCAGATGCTGTGTGTACAAGATGGCAACACAGAAATTTGAAACACGAAGGTAAAAAAGTCATTTCAACGGTTACTTTTCTCTCTGTTGTCAGCTAAAGAAAACTCACAAGGAATCAATTAATAACAGATATTATGAAGACTATGAGACTATAATGTGGCATTCAATACTTTTTGCCAAAGAAAAAAGAGAATCTGATCTTTCGATTTGGAGAATACATTTAGCTTTACTCATTTCTATCATATATTCAAATTTAATTCTAATTAATTTAGGTATATGAATCCATTAAAATATAAAATGGTATTTAACTTTAAAACATAAAAGACCATTTTGCTTGCTTCAAAAGCTTGTAAACTTCTAAATATTTCACTTTATTGAGGCAGATGTTTCTTTGACTATCTCAGTGACTTGGTATTCTAAGATAACAAAAAAGTACACTTAGGATATACAATCATGAGATGTGACTAGCAAGTAATGTGATTGATTTGTCAACAAGCATACTAAGAACTAAACATCCAAACAAGCGTTACATTTCTAAGCAGCCACTATGGGAGATCAGACACATTTCAGTGGTGCTGCCACTGAGCAACACATTTCAAACTTCTCCTTTAGAATGTTCTCAGAAGTAATTTATGAACCATACAAAGCTCAGGCTCATTGCTTTATAAATTGCACCTCATATAGCAGCGATTTGAAGCAAAGCAGAATTGAAATATGTAATTTTCTCTTGTCTTTTACTTACAAAAAGAAACAAATGTTAAATTATTAAGCCCCCAAATAAACTGCTTTTATAAGCCTATTATTTAAAGCTAGAAAGACAATTGTAAAAATAATAATAAAAATCATGATCCTTCTTTTCCCCTTAGAATTTGAATAGGGACACAATATGGACCTGTAATCAGTGCCTCACTCATGAACCTCAAGCCTGATGGTCCTGTCTGTTCTCCCTGTGACCACCTTGGCAAATTCCGGTATTTTATTTCTCCTCATTCTTCTCAACCTCTCTTTATCATCTGACATTCTTGATCATCCTTGTTTCGCCCCAACATGCTGTGAGCAGCGTTCTTAAAGGAAATTCCATACCACTCTGGGTCCTTAGCCTTTCTCTGACTTACTGTGCTGTGTCCTCTTCCCCCGTTCATGTAAGTGTTGCTCTACATACAGAGTTACAAACATACTTAAATATTTATTGACTAAATAGTTAAGCCCTCGGTTCTCTGCTCTGTTTTTCTGTGCTGTTTCCCTTGTTAAACGAAATGTTACATGTTTAACTGTCACCGCTTCTCAAATATCAAGTCCCACTACTCAAGCTCGCTCCATCCATATCACTTTCTAGTTATGCAACCTTGATCAGGTTACTTAACCTGAGTCTCAGTTTCCTCATGTGTAAAATGAGGATGAAACTCTTGTCTACCTCACAGAATTATGACCAGAGACGGAACACTTAGGAAGTTTCTGATACATTTCAAGTGTTCGTTATTTCAACTGTTATTGTTTTTCCCCCCAATACTTCATAACATCCTCACTTGGATGTCACACAATCAATTCAGCATATTTTTAAAAAATATAAACACCGTCTAGAACTTGCACCAAAATAAAATGTTATTCTTTCACTTAAATTATGCAAGTACTAGAATTAAATTCTTATTTAATTATTTTTCTCCTACCTTTAGTAGTGAAGGGTAGACAGCAATAGTTTTCTTAAGTTAATAGAGAGGCTTCATATAGATGTAAAAACTCTGTGTTGTCTTGGGTATGCTGTCAAAATGCTGTGACCTCCAATTCACAGGAAAGTTAATCAAAACCGTGTCAACATACTGTGTACCCCTAAACTTTCTTATCCTACTGACTTCCCCAAACTTGCTTTTCTTTTGTTATTACTGTGATCACATGTGGGAACACCATTCTTTCGGGCACTGGGTTTGAAATCTGGTCCTTTGACCCTCTCTGTCCCATCCCTTCTTCACAGGCACCACACTACTGATGCTCACTCTTCCATCCCTCTATGACCGCCCTCGTCCAAACCCTTGGCATCTCATTTGTAGACCACTATGCTATACATCTAACTCGCCCACCTGCCCTTATCCTCACATTCTACCAATTCATTCCACACGCACTCATCACGTTAATTTTCCTAAAGCAGTTTCATACTGTCTGAATAAAGTTTTATCATGCACATCATTTTGTACACCTAATACAATTTATTATACAATGTAAACACTCAAATTTGTAGAATAAATCTCATCTCCTTACACAGAAACCCCCACTGATTGCATGATGGTAGTATTGCCCTAAGAGTCCCGTACTGCATCTTATCTATAGTTCTGTGAATGTCAAATAAGGGCAAAGGATAGGAAACAAACATATACAAATACCATATGTATGACGCCTTGGCTTAGTATATTTTCATTTTAGTCTCACACAATAACCTGTGATAAAGGTACTAACTCCATTTCAGTAGCAAAGAAGTTCAGAGACATCAAGATTATTGTTCAGCTGGAAGGATCCACACTTAGATATGAAGTCACTGTCCTGGCCTCAAAATGTATGCCAATTTTATTCCATTCCTACCTTCTTTTAAGCAGTGTTTTAAAGATGAGAGTTCCTTGGATACATTAGTTTCCTACTGCTTCTGTAACAAACGACCACAAATTGAGAGGTTTAGAACAATGCAAATTTGTTATCTTAGAGTCCAGGAGGTCAGAAACCCCAAATCAGTTTTTCTGGACTAAAATCAAAGTGTTGGCAGAGCTGGTTGCTTCTGGAGGCTCTGAGAGGAAAATCTGTTTCACTGCCTTTTTCAGCTTCTAGAGGCTACCTATATTCCCTGGCTTTTACCCCCTCCTCACGTCACACCAATCTCTTGCTTCTGTCCTCACATATTTTATGACTGGTTTGAACCCTCCTGCCCCTCTCTTGTAAGGACTCTTGTAATCACCCTAGGCCCGTCTGGCTAATCTAGAATCATCGACCTCCTTTTGCCATGTAGGGTCACATACTCACAGGTTCCAGACATTAGGACATGGACCTCTTTGGGGGTCATCATTCAGCCTATTACACTAGGCATGAGCTCTGATAACGGAGCCTGAATTCCCTGAAACCAAGAGCTGGTGATAATTAGATGTCCTAGCAATACCTATACATGGCAACCTTTTGTCAAGAGGTTTTGAACATAATCAAGAATCATTTACCTAAGAAGACAGTTTATTTACTCACCTGCTCATTTATTCTGAACTTTCAGGTTGGTAAATAAAATTCAATTTTGTTCTTCCTGAACAATTAAAAGAAGCTTGAGAGGAACAGGAAGGACACATTAAATAACAATTGTACGTGTGGAAGGACTTATGAGAAAGAGTATACTTGCAACTGCATTGAACTCAAAATAGAAATGTCAATTTTTTAAAGTTTAAATGTAAAATCAGTCTACTCCTGACTCATATTACTTACAGACTTAGCATGTTTTTTACCATGAGGGTCTTTAAATTTGGACAGTTTATTTTTCAAAATGTACTGTGTTCAAGCATATATTATAAAGTTAGTACTTCATTATTCCCCATCAGCAAAACAAGAAGTCTAAATATGTTTAATGATTCTGTTTTTGCATATCATAAGAACATTACTTAATGGTGCTTGAATTAACCAAATAAATGGAACTAACTGATGGCATCCCTTCTTAATGATACTGACTTTTTAGGCCATCTCTTCTGCTTCAATCACTCTCATTAGCCCAGGGCCACTTGCCTAGGACGAGCCCTCTGGCATTTCTATAGATCAACGAAATGGGGACGCTTCCATGCTAACTCAGGGACAAGCAGCTTTTCTGTGGTCTTCTGACTTCTTTTTAAGATTTTTTGATGTGGACCTTTTATTTTTTTAAAGTCTTTATTGAATTTGTTACAATATTGCTTCTGTTTTATGTTTCGGTTTTTTGGCCGTGAGGCATGTGTGATCTTAGCTCCCAGATCAGGGATCGAACCCACACCCCCTACACTGGAAAGTGAAGTCTTAACCACTGGACCACCAGGGAAGTCCCTGACTCCTTTATTTCTTCTACCCTGAAAATCATCGGTCTTTCAGGAGCGTTTAATTTACATTAAGGGTCATAAATATACACTGGTAGAATTTTGCTACCGAAGAACTCTGTCATATTGACATAAAAGCTTAATGAAACATGTACAAAACTTTTACTACAAATAAAAATACCAATATAAGTCCTTTATCTTGATAAACATATTTAAGTATTATTATCTCAAACATCAACGCTGTATAAAGAAATATTGGCACAAAACGCATGGTTAAAATAAATTGAGAAATGCATGTTATTAAACTATAATAAATCCACAATTTTTTAAAAAGTGTGATGCCTGCGTTAGAATATTTTAATCCATGAATAAAGCTGTTAAAATCCTTAAACATATATACTTAAAATAAGAGTACTAAAAAAGAAAGTCTTCCCCAGACTTTCTGAAAATCAAAGAACAAAGGAAAATGACCTTTTAGACAGATTAAAGACCTAAAGGTGAATATTGAATTATATCTATATGTTTTTCCCCGAGTTGATTTAACCTCATGTGAACAATAGTTGTCTTGTAAACGGATGTATACGAACTTTAGAAACCAAACTTTCAAATGGAATTTATTTCAGTTATGCCACAGACTTGAGGAAATGTCACACTCATTCCAAGAGTTATTTGTTACTTAGAAGTTTAAGTGTTCTGACCAGTGAAAAGTTAACAGCAAAATGAAGAAAGCTGAGAATAGCATGATTTAAAGAATGCCAATTTGTAACCCAGGGGATAGGTATTTGCATACTAATTGTAATGTTCCTGCTGTCACATTCCCTTCAGCTTGAAGATCAGTCAGAAAGAGAAATTCAGCATCATCTGTGACAGCCAGACAGTGGAACAGAAAATGCCAGTGAAGTGAGCTGCTGTTCAAAGCTATTTTTGTCTCAGATGTACAAATGAAAACACTTGAGCCTTCATTAGTCTCGATGTTTTGTTTCCTTCATTTATGATAAATATGCTAATTGTTGTCTTTCCTCCTGATTTATTTTTTTCTCCTTTCTCCACTGATTTCTTCTTCTTTTCTAAAATCCGTCCACAATGCATGGCTTGCCTGTACAGTTAATTCTTTATACTTGCTAAGATAAAGAAAGGCTACAAAGTGGAGAAAACCCACTGAGCTCCCTTTATGTGAAGCTTTCCCAAATTATTAAATGTTCAGGTTAAAGACATAAGATACATATGATCCTTGCAAAAACTATTCGTTGTTGCAACATGGATTGAGAAATTTGAACATAGATATTAACTGCGGGGTAAGGCAGCAGCTGTCACTTCCTGGAGCACGCGGGCTCCTTGCGTGAATCTCTCGCTCTCCAGCAAACCGCTAATTGAGTGTGGAGAGCTCAGTTGTCAGAGCCCACATTTTTACATGCAATACAACTGGTTCTAGCGGGCACAGTTAGCAAGATAACTGGTAGCTTTCACGCAGTTCCCATCTGGCCTGGCTTTTCTCCGGACACATAATATGGGGACTGCTGGCCTTGATGGCACTCATTTAATGAAGGAAATCAGCCAAAGCCCCATGAAACACTAAGTGTGATTTTGGCTCCAGATACACAAGTGAATTTCAAGGCAAGTCATACACACACAAAAAAATTACCCCGACTATGCACCACAATTTTACAGGAAATATATGCGAACACACAATGGAGAAGGGCCAGACAAAATCTTTGTAAAGTTCCAACTAAAATCCAAATAAAAGGGGAAAAAAAGAAAAGT